CCTAGCTAGCTAACAGATCATGCATGGATGGATGCTAGTATTATAAATATCTTAACTTCCCACATTTGGAGGCTTGGTTTTAAATTGGGAGAGGGGGGGAGGGCATTATAAAGTTGGCATCCATGTTGTATGATTCCACTGCTCATTCCAAAGCCCCATCAGTTAAAATTATTAAAATATAAACCTTAGAAGTGCCAAACACCTACTTCTCTCCTTCTCTCTGCTGTAATCTTTACATGAAAAGGAGAGAGTCTATGAAACCAAGGTTTGCTGCACATGCTTCCCTCCTTTCCTCTCCATGAGTTCTCACTCCCAAACTCCAAGTGGGTGGGGTATATACCATGATTATTCAACTCTAACTCAAGCCTTGTAGTGTACTTCAATACAAATATTTGTATTTTTCTCTGAAATACATAAAACAAATATATATAGCTTCAACTTTACCCGAAATAACAGTAAGAAGGAAGATCTGAACCAGAACCCTAGCCCAAGTTACATAATCAATAATGAAAAGTATCATAATAGACCATTTAACTAAAGAAAAAAACTCATTCTAGCTAGAGCTTAATGCTCCTGCTTTTGATCAGCATGGCACTTTTATAGGTTAGCTAATTCTGGAACATGAACAACATTGTAAGGAACAATTTTTTTTTTTTTATTTAATGCTTAAAGGCAAGTTCATTCATAAATGCTTAGGTTATAAAGTAGAAAAATTAACAACAACGAAATAAAATACAACCAAAGAAGCATGTTAAGCGTGCTAAAACAAAAACAGGTAATCACGAGCATCGAGAGAAAAAAAAAACAATTTAAGAAATCTCTGCAACTGATGCAAATTTAAGTAACGCCAAAAAGGTTGACTAAATGCCTTCAACAAAAATGAAGCGAGCAAGTGTGTTTATTTACCAAATGAGTCCAAATGAACTATACAAAACCCTCAAAGGGTATAGAGAATATATATCATGGCACCCAATCCATGAAATAATGGAAAACGTGAAAGAAGAAGAGACCCAAAATCACCACATCTTACAAAAACTCTCCCTAACAATCCACCGTCTAAATTTCAAGGAATGAGCCCCACAAAAAACCAATATCGTTGTATCTATACACACAAATCATCGTCAGTATATAAATGAGGTAGCTACTAGGGTTCTTAATTTTTCTTTTATAGTTGCAACATATATACAACAGACAAAAAAAACCCTAGTTGGTGAAGTTTAAATTGAACAAGTAGAGAGAGAGAGAGTATTGAGCCCCTACTCGAACCACGAGGTAAATTGGATCAATTATGGGCGCCTACAACAGTAAGCACCCTCGTCTGCCACGTGGACGTTGCTCTTTCTAATCATTTTCCTCTTGAATTTCTCGTTGTTAATTCTCTCATGGGATGAGGATGACGTGTTGCTTCTCATGCCCCTAAATTCTCTCTTTCTCTCTCTCATACGCACCTTCCTCATTCTTATTCACTTAAAACCTAATTAATTAAAACCTAAATATATAGAAATGAGAATGTTCTTGGATAGGACGCTGGTGAATGAGAATTGGTGCAATGGGACTAGATGGGCCCAAATGTACGATATCGTGAAAAAGTTTGATCTCCTGTCCCATCATATATTCCCTTAATAATAATATCTAAATTATCTATTAACACCTTTTATGTAATTATTCTTGTAGGTCTCCTCTTCTAAAATTAGGAGGTTGTTACTTTTGTGCAACGCTTATTATGTTGTAATCTAACAGTTGATATAGTTAGTTTGGGTTCGCATGATATGATATCTGAAATTTACGTGGTAGTTAATTAGGTTGTATTATTTATCAAAATTTATGAGTGAGTTTTGATTGGTCAAAATTCGTTTTGTATCATATTTTTTTAGTATTGTAGATTTTTCTAATTACTTTTTTACAATAAGATAGACTTTTTATATGGAAAATTATCTCTTAGAAAAAAAGATTAAAAAAAAAAGATGTTGGTGTAAGAGTGGATTTTCTTTTCTTTTTTTTTTTTGTGATACACCTGAATCCCATAGAGGCAGTTAGAATAGCATAACACCACACTAATAACCCTTTTCCCCAAAATTGGGGGTTGAGAGAACTGATTTCACATCTCTGCTCGAGCTAATCAGTTAGGCCATGTTTGGTTTGAAGGAAAAGGTGGGGAAAAGAAAGGAAAGGTAAGGAAATCCATATAAATGTGAGTGGAGAAATCTATGATGTGGAAAAGATATGGTATGGGAAGAGTTTTGACCAATCAAAACCCACCTATGAATCTTGATTAATAACACCTGATTGGCTACCAGATTTATGATTCCAGTTGAATGCTCAGAAGTTTTTCAGATATGATATCTTTTCCATATTATAGATGAACCCAAATGTGAGTGGGTTTCTTTCTCTTATAAATGTTTTTTTGTGTTGAAAAGAAGAAGAAAATTTGTATACATATAAGAGCAGTTTTCATATATTTGAGCTGCAAGCCATAAAGTATATGGTTTGGATATACATAGGCGGTAAATTCAAACCATATAATTTAACCCTTTGTATTTTATTAATAGTATTTCTTTTTCGTCATAACTTAAATTTCTTTATTTTATTATTATTGGATTCTCTTAATTATTTGAATTTCGTTTCATATTTTATAGTTTTATCAAGTTTTTTTTTTTTGGGTTCTATAGCAAATTGATACCATGGGAGTCGTATGATATGCATAGAGATGCAAATGGATCCATTGAATGAGAAATTAATTACCTAAATCCAAATTTGATTTTAATTAGATTAATAATTTCAATTGGATTCAAATCGTATCGGATGCAATAACCGGATGCTGAATAAATATAGCATCAATAAATAAATTAAAATTGATCAAAATATGATATATTATTAATCAAATGAATTAAACTTTTTTTTTGATAGATCCAATCGATGCCACACAAGCCTCGAGTAGCACATCCCCACAAATCACAATTACAAATAAAGCCTAAAGGAGGAGGGAAATCCCGCAAATTAAAAGTTAAGAAGTCTATAGTACAGGATTGGGCTTGATAGACTAACCAATCTGCAGCTTGATTCACTTCACGGTAGACAAAATAAATTGAAAATCACTTGTATGAAAGGTAAACCTATGACATTTTAGCAAAACTACAGTATGCAAACCAATTATAACAGTAAATAAAATATAATAAATATAATTATTTAAGTTGAATTGAATCGAATCATATCGAACTGAATAGGGGTGGATCCATATCAATCGAATTATAAATGGATCGGATCAAATCAAATTTGAATTTGAATTTGGATAATACGATTTGCAGCCCTATGAGGCTATGAGCTGTAAATTAAAGGTTGCACCTAATTTCTTTACATAGTACATCCTTGGTGCAATCATGTTTCTGACGGAAGGTATTACGTCACTTAAAATTGTAAAGTCTGTCCACTTACCTGGTAGTGTGGGGTGCAACTCGGTGTGCATAAAGTGCAACTTGGATAGCTAGCAAACTTTTTTCTGTTCCCAGATTAACTCTAAATATAGCCAATAAAAGAAATAAATTATATAAATATTAATAAAAATAATGTTTATATATATGCATTTTCCATATATACATATATACATACACTGATGATACACATACATAGAAATGTTGAATTGGGTCCACTCTATGTGTATTGATAGGGACCATCATCGAAATAAGCCTCTCCTAGGAGATTAATTGTGTGCACAAATTAATAATAATCAGCTCAATTAGGTGATTTCAACAATTTATTTTAATCTATTCATTGGGATAAAGAACAAGAGGTTCTATTAAAGCACTAAAGTCTATCTTGAGCACATGGTTATGAGTCATCTAATCATGCCCGATTTTGTGGCATAAGCAATCTATCAGGCTGTATTGGGTTTAATAGAAAATACATAAAAGAGAAATTGAAAACTGAAGGAAATGTTTTTTTAAGGATTTTTGTGTTTATCTCTTATGCTTCGTTCGCTTTTTGGTAAGTCACTTATTTGGGTAAGTTTTTCTTAGAAAAGATTTACCCAAGTAAGTGCATTTACCCATGTTCTTTTATTTTTCTATGTAAATAAGGCAATGACAATCTTAACCATAAAGATTCTATTATTAAAAGGGGCATTTTTGTCTCATCAAAGTATTGGCAATTTTCCCCTTTAATTTGTCCACTTAGAAGATGGGTATCATTTACACTTAATTTATCCACTAGGTAAGTGATATCCAGAAAAATAAACTTTCACTAGTCTCGGCATAATTCTTAAAAATGAGTATGAATTTCTTGGTTAATGGGAATCAAAATTTCATTGACTAACTTTCCACCTCTCCAAATCCAAAAAAAAAAAAAAAAAAAAAAACTTTCTATCCAACCAAACATAGCATTAGCCATTAGGTTAGAACCATTTATTTAATTTGACTGAAATTTTCTAAATATGTGACATTAGGCAGCTAATAAGTGTGTGTACATACAAATGTGAGAATTTTTTTTTCTTTAGAGCAACATTAGAAAAAGTTTTACCTAGACTAGAAGATTTAATTTGTACCTTTTGACGCTTGATCTATTGATGTTACATTTGTGAATTAGGTAGTGATGGATGGATATGTGTTATACCTAAAAATCAGCATGATCAAATGGCATATATAAATTATTATATATAGAAGTTTGGATGGTCCATACAGCTTTTATTGTTTTTACCTAGGTTTAAAATTGTGATTGAAATGGTAGAGAGGTAATCTAGGGGCGTTAAGCTAACATTGTGGGTGATGCATTTTGATACTATTAATTAGTATTAGATAATTGTCCACAGAAATAAACAAAATAAAAACATAAGCAACTTTCCTAATTAAAAATTAAAATTGAAAAATCCTAAATTTAAATAAAATTGCATTCAATGAATGATATTAAGAATATTTTATATGAAGGACTCTCTCTCTCTCTTCACAATTTTCCTATTTAAAGCCTTCCAACCCCTTCTCCCCTCCCATTCCAAACTCAACCAACTCAAGACATCCTTTCTCTAATTTCCTGCCTCTTCTGATCAACTCTATCTCCTCTCCCAACTTCTCTTTCAAATTCACTTATTGTCATCCAAGAACAAACATACATAGGCATAGACAATTCGATCTGCTACATACGTTAACACTACCAGTCTCCAGTATGCAGCCACCGAAAATGTCTGATCACGAGGACTTCTTCGCTCGCCGGTGTGTCTTGGTGAACGGTCCGGTCATCGTAGGGGCCGGCCCATCTGGACTAGCAGTGGGCGCCTGTCTCAAGGAACAGGGCGTACCCTTTGTAATTCTTGAGAGGACGGACTGCATTGCATCTCTGTGGCAGAAGCGCACCTATGATCGCCTGAAACTTCACCTCCCTAAGCAATTCTGCCAACTCCCTAAGGTTCCCTTCCCGGAGGACTTCCCTGAGTACCCAACCAAGAAACAGTTCATCGGCTACCTCGAGTCATATGCTAAGCGTTTTGAGCTCAACCCACGATTCAATGAGTGCGTGCAGTCTGCAAAGTATGATGAGACTAGTGGGTTGTGGAGGGTCAAGACTGTTTCTACCAGCAGCGGCGGCGGCAACCGCACCGCCGAGATTGAGTACATTTGCCGCTGGCTTGTCGTGGCGACAGGGGAGAATGCCGAGCCTGTGTTGCCTGAGATCGAGGGACTGTCGGAATTTGGAGGCCATGTTATGCACGCTTGTCACTACAGGTCTGGTGAGGACTACCGGGGAAAGCGTGTTCTAGTTGTGGGTTGTGGCAATTCAGGCATGGAAGTCTCTCTCGATCTCTGCAACCACAATGCCTTCCCATCCATGGTGGTTCGCAGCTCGGTGAGTAATCGATAGCATACCCCCACGATCATATATAATTCACCATTAGATCTCGTTGATCGATTGAAAACTACATATATAATTCATTATACTGGAGCTGAATTCGGTTTCAATTAATTAATGCACAGGTTCATGTATTGCCGAGGGAGGTTCTCGGGAAATCCACGTACGAATTGGCTTTTTTCATGGTCAAATGGCTTCCTCTGTGGCTGGCTGATAAGCTGCTGTTGATAATGGCATGGTTGGTACTAGGAAACATTGAGAAATACGGGCTGAAACGACCTTCCATGGGTCCTTTGCAGCTCAAGAATTCTCAAGGAAAGACCCCTGTTTTGGACATTGGTGCACTATCAAAGATCAAATCTGGTTTGGTTAAAATTGTTCCTGGGATCAAAAGGTTCTCCCGTGGTTGTGTTGAGCTTGTTAATGGAGAAAAGCTTGAGGTTGATTCGGTTATTCTGGCTACTGGGTATCGCAGCAACGTCCCTTCTTGGCTACAGGTGAGAAGATGTTCTTTTTTTTTTTTCTAACTTAACTTTTATTCTTTGGATTTATATGACAGTTCTAGAATAAGTTGGGGGGCATCTGTTAGATTCTTTCTAGTTTTCTTACTATTTTTGGGTCGATTTGACACTTATTTAGGAACTCAGGATGTAATAAGTATATGGGTTCTGTTTGGAGGTGGTGATTTGTCTGTTTTTCTTTCATTATTTAAAAGAAGAAAGGGTAGAGTTTTCAGAAGTTTCTTATGTGGGTCTGGTTTTCTGAAGAAAATCTTATATAACAACAAGTGGATAAATGGACTGAAGTTGCTTCCTATATCTGTGTTTTTACAGGAGAGTGAGTTCTTCTCCAAGAACGGGTTTCCAAAGTCTCCATTTCCAAATGGATGGAAAGGCAATGCAGGGCTTTATGCAGTTGGGTTCACTAGGAGAGGGCTCTCTGGTGCATCTTCTGATGCAGTGAAGATAGCACAAGATATTGGAAAAGTGTGGAAGGAAGAAACAAAGCAGAAAAAGCAGATTACTGCCTGCCACCGGAGATGCATTTCACAGTTCTGAGATCACACAGATGACTCAATAGTTCCATGCATCGAGTTTCTCCTTCTGGGTGCTTATTGTATTTGATCTCTTTGCATTTTTTCTTTTAATTTCATGGTTGGCGACCGATCGATCCGTCGAGATGGGTAGCCGTGACAGAGATCGATCGTGTACAATAATTATGTAAAAAGGAGAGAAAAGAAAAGAAAAAACACAGGAGACAGATAGCACAGAGACCAGCCCTCTCCAAAAAGCCCAAGTTTTGAAAATGATGGGGCGTTTTGTGTACAGAGGAAGATGAGGCTTTTTTTAGTGTTAGATTACAAAGTTTTGTACAATAATCCAATCATTGAATCTAAATGAAAGAGTTTGTTTAAAGGAAGACTCTCTCTCTCTCTCTCTCTCTAACCATTCCGGTGACATTGATTAATGAATGGTTTTGTTTAGAGGATTTATCTTATGAAAGTGTTTGATGTTTTCTGTTTTCTGTTTTCTGAGGTGAGGAAACCTACCTCCCCAAAACCACACATTTTGGTCCGCCAACTAATAAATCCTGACAGTTCACTGGATGGGCGACTCACGTCATTTTCAGGTTTTACCCATCAAGTTTTTATGAGGTGAGACTAGAGAGGGCCCCACCAATGGTCCACATCATTGACTCAGCAGTCTACATATATCACCACAAGGGCAGGCTAGAGAGATATTTAGAGTTATTATATTATATTGGTCCCATATCTACTATCCTGCCACCATTTCATCATTTTGTTCCATTCCTTTCCTTCGCTTTGAGGATGACAAATACACGGAGAGGAGAGAGAGAGATCTAGAGAGAGAGAGAGAGAGCAGCTAAGTTCTATATTGCCTTGCACATGGGGGCACAGTGGTAAACTAGAAAATTTTATATATATTGCTTCGAGTTGCTTTAAAATAATTTATATATCAGTATTTTAGTATAAATATGGATAAGAATCAATTTTTTATGTCAATTTGTATAGAAACACCAACTTCAGTGCATAGGTTTTAATTTTGTGCAAGAAGGAATTATGAGAAACACCATTTTGACTTAATTCCTTTTAAAAAGAATACCAAGATGCCAAACATTATCCTAGTCTTGCCTTATTTATACTTGAGGTATACATATGTATAGAAAAGCAAAGCACTCATCAATTTTGATTTTTAATTCTTTTATATTTTGACTCAGAATGTGGCCAACTGAGCAACAAACATCTAGGGATGGTAGTGGGGCGAGTTTCAGAGAGGGTTTTGTAAATTTTTGACCCTCTCACTTGTACCCTAGTTCTCTAGAATTTGCAACGGGTTGGATTTTCAAAATCCAAACCATCCCTACACATGAAAATGTGAATAAACCCTTCCCGACCCCATCATCCCTGTATTTGAGGGGTGGATGGGTCGGGCTCTTGAGTTGGATTTAGAACCCATATCTATTTTTTTTGTTATTTTCTGTTTTATATTAGCAATAAACAAGCAAATTAAAATAACATGAATAAACACCAAAATTTCAAATTATTTGATTGAAGGATCTAGAAAATATATAAATTATTAATTATTCTTTATATAAGATTCAAAACATTATTAAATTCAACACATAATACATAAATTTATATGTTTTGTATTAACAATATAATTATAAACATTAGGGTATTTTAATAAATTTAATATGCAGATTGAAGAGAGTTACATTGATTTTTGCCTCATACCATACCGATACAATGTTTTAAATACCAAAACCCATCCTTGTCCCAAAATCAGTCAGTTCAAAAAAAAAAAAAAAAACTACCCCAAAATCCATCAGCGAGGGAGGGGTAGAAGAAAAATAAGGAGATTTGAATTGAGATGGGAGGTCGGAACAAAATACTAATAAAATTTAGAAAATGGCGTCGCCCGGACTTGAACCGGAGACCTTCAGTGTGTTAGACTGACGTGATAACCAACTACACCACGACACCTGATTGTGATCTTGATTGTAATAAATCATAGTAATGGGTTTCAGAAGAACAATTAATGTATCTACCAGTTCAGACTTTTCAGTAGGCCCTTTTGATGGCTGCAATCTTATGATCACTCATCAACTTCTGACCTTTGTGTATGATAATTCTGACATTAGATCAATGGTATCTAACATTAATTTGTTTGTCAGATTTAAATAAATAAATGTGTGGATGATCCATTTCTGTCAGCATTGTCCGCATTCCTAGAATCCTGGCTTTGGATTCAAGCTTCCAAAGTTTACATCATGAGATGATATTAGCAACCATGGTTTTAAATTTCGTGAAATATTGGAAAATTTTGGTTTCAATCACAATAATTGAAATGAAATTCAGAAAATGTTGGGTGTGGAATTTAGAGCGTTTAATTAGGGGTGTCAATTGGTCTGGATTTGGTCCAATCCGATCCAGTCTAATGTGAGTCCATTATAAATTGATTAGGTCCAATCTAATCCAATCAATAATTTGGATCATTTTGGACTGGTCTAATTTAATGTTTGGATCGTTCAATTTGTTCAAATTCATTTTAATTTAGATTGGTTTTAACCCAAACCTAGTTTATAAACACCTATATTTTTATCTTAAAATCATTGAATCGAATATTGGCTTAATCCAACCGAATCCAATATAATTTTTTCTTTTTTTTACGAACAGACCAAGTCAATCCAACCTAATAAATATTTTGGACCAGATTGGTCCAATCCAGTATGTCTTTTCGGTCCGTCTAATCCATCCAAATTGATTTTGGGACACCCTTAGGTCTAATTATGGTGGATTTATAAATATTTTTTGTATGGTAAATCAAAATTTTAATTAATCATATTAAAAACATCAAATAGTTTATTTACTTTTCATTCCTTCCCATTTCACAATATGTGCTTTCATGTTTAACAAGATATACTTACCATCAACTCTTCAACAATGTTGAAGATGTCAATTGCCATTTTATCACTGGTTCACATTTTTTCGTTCATAGTGTAATTCATATACCATAGATTTTAGCATGAATTTATTGCAGAATAAATGTTACAAATTTACTGAAATTTTAGGATTTCATCATATGGTTCACCAATTAAATTTTATCATGAATTTTAATTAATAATTTGCACAATTTTTCAAAATTCTTAAAATTCCATTTCTACATTTTGGGTCCAAAATTATAAATTTTTCAAAATTCAAAACCATGGTTGCAACTTGAGCACACAAAATAAAAAATTCCTGCCTCTTCTTTTTGTCTTTTCCTCTTTTCTCATTATTATTTTTTTAATCCTTTACTCTTCTTACTAAGCTCTGATTCAAATTTATATGCTACATTGAATCAACAAAATAAGCAGGAAAAGAAACCCAGATGTACACAAAAGGGAAAACAAAGCACATGAGTCACCAAGTGTTGATGAAACCACACAGCTAGAGGCCTTTCTCCCTGTGGCCCATGTATGTATTTCTCCACCCACCACAACATCTTTCAAAAGAACATTGATGCTGGTGTACATCTCAGATATCCTTTATGGTACACAATCTGCAGCAGCTCTATTTTTCTCTACTTGTTCAAGTGCCTGAACTTTGCACTACTTCCAGTTTTAAAAGTTGAAACATAAGTACAACTGTGTTTCTCTGTCTTTTCTCCATGGATCATCTGCATGTTTTCTTTTTGTTGGAGCACCTATGGCTTCCGTTACATCTCCATCTTCTCACTTAACCATCACTAACACCAAGAAAACATCATGTGGGTTTGCCACCATCCGTCTCCCTTATTTCAGAACCCACTATATATATATGGAGGCCCATGTCTCCCTGATTGTCTAGACAAGGTTCTCTTATTTCAGAATCCACCAGTGTTTAAAAATTGTAAAGAATCAATGAAAAACAATGACTTATAAACAGTAAGGTTTACACAATGAGAAGTGAGAACACCTTCATTGCATCAACACTAAAAAGGAAAGGAAAAAAAGGGGGGAAAAGGAAAGAAAGAAGAAAGAAGCTTTTAAATTTATGGGTTGCCCTTAGTTTTTGATGTTGATGTTGCCTACTTCCATTTCTCTCTATGCCCTATCAATGATGGATATGGCTGACATCACTCAGAAAAGTGAAGGATGTATTCTTTAACTCTTTACTAAGTTTTGTAGAATGAAGACAACAGACATAAAAACCCAAATCTCTCCATTCATCCCCTAAATCTGTTTATGTGGGAAGGAACTGAGGCTCAATAATTTGACAGTGCTGCATTGCTGCATGTACACATTTTTTATGGTTTGGAAAAATCTCATACAAGTGGGATGTCCTATGTTTAGCAACATGTTGTAACATGTGGGGAGCAAACTTTTCCATTGATGGGTGGCACTATGCATGAAAATCACATTGGTTTTGTTTAAAACATCTCTTACTAAACAACAACAATAAAATTAAATGTTGCACCCTCATTTTGCAAGATTAATTTACAGCTGAATGTATAGTGGTCTCTGGGTGCAATGTTTCTGCACTATAAAATTTAATGAGGTTTATTTGTAAAATTATATATTCTATAGAAATTAATTTTGGAATTTTAGCTATCTAGTTCATAAATGTTAGATTGTTTTTATTATTTTGGGACTGGAAATGTTTTTTTTTTCATTTTCTATTTTTATTTGTAGTTGATTTTAGTTTAAACCATTGTCAGATTAGCTGTTGCTATTTTGTTTCTATATAATTTTAAATTTCCTTAATTAATATTAAATTAGCATTCAAAAAGAAAATGAAAAGATTACATTAGATTGGAGTTTCTTATTATTTTATTCCAAAAATTTTCTATAATAGTAGTAAGCATTGCAATTTTATTTTCTAAATTAAAAAATATACATAATAAACTACTTTCTTTTCTTTGGATACCCTATAAAGGGATGCACTTTTTTCAGGAAGATGAATCTGAATTATCCAAGGAAAATGGCAGAAATATTTACAATTAAAGGTAAGAATCCTAAAATTCCTACACACTCTAATAGAAAATAAAGAAAGCATTAATATCCAAAGAGAGAAAACATTAATATCAAAATAAATTTCCATGCATCACGATTTACAAATGGGATGTGCTCAGTCGCTACCATTGCTAGAAATCATCTGGGTGGAGTAGTGGATTTTAAAGCTTATAAATTAGGTACTACTTCTATCAATTTGGCCAAAACCTGGGCTACGTGGGAGGCTTATAATCTAGCAACAAACTTCATCAACAACCCCGTCACCATAGAGGGAGCCTCAAAGCTCGTGGTCTCACCAACCCCCCATGGAGACTTAGGAGTATTGTGCAGGATTGCTTAGAGTTAAGAACTCGTATGAACGAAGAGGTCCATTGTGGACACGTGTACCATGAGGCCAACCATGTTGCGGACTG